CCCCCCCCAGGTCACTGAAGCACATTTAGAGCATCCATTAGATTTTATCTGGGACCTGCAGTTTGGCTTTGGGATTGATCATCTTGTGGATTTGATTCCTGACGAATCCCTTGCTGCCTCCCTTTTACTCTCGCCTCTGGATATCAACCTCAACAAATTCAAATCAGTTCTTTTTAGCTCCCGTGGAACTATTTTGTACCTGCTTCTTTACAAGTCTGCCCTAGTGCCACCCACCAGCTTTACTCTTTCTCTCAAACAAACACAATTTTAACGTGGGTTTTCTGGTGGTTTTGTGTGGTTTTCTTTTTTTTTTTTTTGTAAATAATGTACATACTGTCAATTTTTTATTAAAAGAAATATGCTTTGATGTGCTAGCATAACTGCTCTAGCTTCTTGTGTATCATAGTTCTATGTGGCTTCAGATTTAGTACCTATGAACAGGTGTGCAAGACATTTATTACACTTTTTACCAAAGGGAGTAGTAGTACTTTTGTGTAAAACTTGTCTTCCCCTTGCCCCAACCCTTTTTTTTTTCTTTTTCTTCCTCTGGGTAAATAAATAAAGCTTGGTTCTTAAGGAATAAATTTGCAACTCAAGTCCCTTGTCCTCACCAGAGAACTATTATAAAGCAGGGACTTAGGCTCAGTTCCTTATCCATGATACCAACAGGCTTTTGCTTTAGTTAGTAGACAATTTCACTTATCTCAATTCAAAATATTCAAAGTTTTTGAAGCAGAATACTTTATTCTTTCAACACATGTTTTTGCCTCCCTTATTTCAACTGTTTGGAAATATGTGATATTTGGGTAAGTTGTCTAGCTATATAATTTGTAATTCTCTATATTGTTTCTTACCGTATTGAAAATGGGGGTGAACAACTTATAAATACCAAATCAGTATTTGAAAGAAGTGTGGTATAAGGCGTAGGGAGGGAGATTTGGTACATTTCATTACTATAAATAGAATATATATATTTTGAAATTACATAAATTTAAACTGGCAGACATTTAAACCTGAGTGATTAGGATTTTTATATGTGGTCAGTCTAGACTTCTGGTGGATTTTCCTCCAGCAACCATTTACTCTAGTCATAGTTTTGCAAAGTAACCAACAATATTTTGTGTGGTTTTGTTTTTTTATTTAAAAATCCCCCACCCCCCCCACAAACCCCACAGATTTTTGGCTTCTGAACTTTCAAATACATGGTAGTCTCTGACTTTTTTGTTTGTATGTGTGGGAGTGAGGGGGGAGAGGACACAAGTGACTGAACCCAGAAATATAGGGTGGCAAAAGAGCCTTGTGGGAGGAGATTCTAAGGTGAAGCTGGGGCAGTGTCAGACTTGGAGATGGGAGATCTTTATGTTTTCCCAGCAGTAACTCGTACCTATTCCCCTCCACTCACTCAAGAAAGATCATATTGACTTGGAATTATGGGGTATTGAAATAGGTGGGGCCCCAGCTGTTGCTCTCCTTCCACAGGGTTATATCCAGAGCACCTGCTTGCAGGTCAGGAATAGGGTTTCAGGGCCAGCTCAGGAGAAAACCTTCAACCCACCAGTGCAACCGAAAAGAAGGGGGAGCTTCACCTGTAGGCAGGGTTTTCACAAGCAGCATTTTTATCCCTCCTGTCTTCTGACATCTGAGCTACAAGCTCTAAACTGAGCCTGTATTATAGCTGGCAAGTTATCTTTAAATTGTTTGGTATTATGTATTCAGTCACCTTTCTGTGTGCTTTGCATTTGAAATGTTGTAAATTTAACTTGGCCAGTATTTCCATTAAAATATCAGGGCTAATGCTGTGTATATATTTTTCTTACTAATGATATTCTAGACAAGAACTCCCTGACAATCCTAGGAGGGGGAAAATGCCAGTGAACTACTAGGGTAACGTGAAAATGAAATTAGAGGTGTTTCTGGCATTATGGCTACTCTCAACTCTTCAGTCCTGTGTGGTGACATACAGTATTCTATTAGGATCTTGAATGCTATGACTAACATGCCATCTCAAAATCTTTCCAGAGTTTCTGGTCATGACCAGCAGCCATGTACAAAAAATTGGGAGTAGAGGAAAGCTGAGGTTACCGGGGTGCAGAGCCCTCCCTAATTAACACCATGTCCATTCCTGGTGGTCCCAGCTCTTTCTAGGTTTTCCAGGGGGTTCCTCCTTGCTGCTGCTGAGGCCGAGTGATCTGCTTCTGTTGTGTCTAATGGTCCCTTATCTTTGTCTGGGAGCTTTCGGAGAATCTGAGCGTCAAACTTCCCATTTTATTTAGGGATTTGCCTAGTGGCCCACCAGTCCAAATAAGGTAGAGGAGAACCCCGGAAGCACTTCTCTCGGTGCCCGCCTCAAAGTTCAGAGCTGCGGGGCTTCAGAGAGCCCTGGTGTTGTAAGAAAAAAGGCCCGTGTGGCTGCAAGCCGGCTGTCCTATGCCGGAACCTTTGCTTCTGGGCCACGCCCGCAGCGCCCGGCATCTTCTGGGAAGAGTACTGGGCGCGTGGCAATGGCGGCGGCGGCGGCACCAGCACCGGTCCTGAAGCACTGGCGCACTACGCTGGAGCGGGTGGAGAAATTCGTGTTGCCACTCTACTCTGCCCACGACTGTAACCTCCATGGCAGGTGTGGCCCCTCTCAAGGCGCTGGCCAGCCTCGCCTGCGCGCCCCAGCCTTCCTTTCTGTGGGTAAAACCAAGCTGTGGCCGCCCAGACTGAGGCATAAAGTGCCCTCCCTCCGCGGACTGGGCGCAGGCCGGGAGAGGGGAGTGGGAGCGGGAGGCTGTGCTGTAGGGACAGCCCACTCTGCGGTTAATCAAGAGACCCTGCATTCCACCTTCCGACGTGCCCACGGGCAGAAATCTGGCTTTGAGTGAGCACCTACCGACCCCTCCTGCCCAGGCTCTTCGGGGACAGCTGCCCGGTGGCCTCGCTCTCCAGTTTCCTGACGCCTAAGAGGCTTCCCTACCAGGAGGCAGTTCAGAAGGACTTCCGCCCTGCTCAGATCGGAGACAGCTTCGGGCCCACGTGGGTAACGCCCAGAGGCAGGGTGGGGCCAACAGGCCTAAGAGAAGGCGCCTCAGCTGGCTAGCTCATTTCTAAGGGCCACTCCTCCATTGTCCCTTCAGATTTCATGGAAGAGTTCATTTTCCCCTTTATCCCAGTCCTTGGACGCCCCTGAGGAAAGGCATTCAGTGAGGGATCACAGACCCCGGACTCCTCTGCCTCTTTCCCTCACCTTGTTGCACACCTTGCTCCTTGTTCATCAAATCTGAATACCTTGTAATGCCTAGAGAAAGCCTCAAGCCCCTACTGATTGTTAAGCCAAGGAAGTACTATTTCAAAAACAAAGGCTTCCACTCTGAAGCCCATCTAAGTGATTGTTTTGCAGATGGTGGACCTGCTGGTTCCGTGTGGAGCTGACAATCCCAGAAGCATGGGTGGGTCAGGAAGTTCACCTTCGCTGGGAAAGTGATGGAGAGGGCCTGGTTTGGCGTGATGGGGAACCTGTTCAGGTAAGGAGCCTTACCCTAGGGACAGGAATGGTCACATTTCAGCTCTGGTCTCTGGAGAACCCATAGCTGGGTGGCTCTGCCTACACGGTGGTATCAGGATTTCAGGACTGGGAAGATTGCTGCTTGGGTCCCTCATACAGGGTAAGGTAAATAGATGGCTTTTGGGTTGCAACATAATTAGTGCTAAATGCACCCTGCTACTGGCAGCCCACCTCATTCTGGGCTGAATATGGTTACTAATCAAGTACAGTAATAATAAGTACAGCAGATCCATTTATTAATCCTCTGCTAAGTGCCAGGCTAATGGCTTTGCAGACCGCATCTCTATTTTTAGTTCTTAGTAAACTAATTTTTTATTATGTGTAATATATAATATGGGGGGGGAACTTTCAAACATCTCCCCATTACCCCATCCCAATCCCCAGATATAACCACTATTAAGTGTCTTGTTTATGCATCTAACAATATCTTTATAATCCTATGTGGTTGGTCTTTATAACTGTTTACAGATCAAGAAGCTGAGATGTATAGAGGTTAGTTCACTTGTTCAGCCTGCACAGCTTCCATTCCAATTGTACTTTCAGTCTCAGGGTAGGACTGTTGTCCTACCTGTATGGCAAAGCCCTTTCTCCCTCCATTGGCTCAGCAGATGTCTCCTGAATGCCCTCTCTGGGCTAGGCCCTATGCTAAGCACTGGGGATAGATATAGCAGGGAATGAAATAAACCTGTCCCTGACTTTATAGAATTTCCCTTCAGACATTTACTCAGGGGTACAGATGCCACCAGAAGCCTAACCCAGGCCTCTTAACACCTGCCCAAGACCCTTCCCATAAGACCATGGGCTTTTCTGCTGGTGCCATTTGGTGGTCATGGTGCTGGCTGCCATGGGGGTTGGGGCGCCTGCTACCAGGGGTCCCTGATTTATCAATCTTGGCCTTGTCTGGGAGAGAGAAGCCAAAGCTGGAGACTGAGTGGAGGGTCTTGGATTCCCTCAGCTTATACTTGACTTGAACTGTCCAAAAACCTCAGGCCCTGTCTCTTTTACTCCACTCCCACCAGGGTTTGACCAAAGAGGGGAAGAAGACCAGCTATATCCTGACTGAGAGGCTGGGGGAAGGAGACCCCCGGAGGTGAGTGAGTCCCTGCATGCTGGTTGACCAAGGCTGTGGAGGGGAGGACGCCAGCGAGGGAGGACCCATTAGTGGGAACTGAGGCCCAGAATGATCTTGGAAACACGTCCACTTCCAACACAACCATCCTCAGATCTGTTTGTTTTTTAAAAGCAAGGTTATTTTTTCTTTTGGCTATAAAAATATTTGCCTTCTTGTGGTAAATACAGAAAAGTACAAAGAAGAAAGTATCTCCCATTATTTCACCACCTAGAGATGACCGTTAGTCACATCTCAGCAGTCATCTCAGAAATTCTTCCAGATGTAGTTTTTACTAGTTAAGGTTATATTTCCTTGATATTTGTACACTGAATTTTTTCATTCTATATTATAATATGACACCATTAAAAACCCTTTCTTAGACATTACGATTTTATAATATTTATTGAATACTGTGTATCTGATGCTTCCAGACACTGGGATTATGATGGTGAGTGATGTAGTCCTATACAGCAAAGGGACTCATACATACGTATACAATTATAAAACTGATGAGGGCTCTAAGAGAAAATCCTGGGAGCACAATGTGAAAACTCTGTTCCAGACTTAGAAGGGTGGAAGGAGGGTCAGGAAGGACTTCCCCAAGAAAGTCATATTTGGTCTCTGAAGACTGAATAGAATAGCACTGCAGCCCAATATCCTGCTACAAAGAACAGCCTGTGGCTGATGGTTCTTTGCTCTAGGAGATCCAAACATGTTTTTAATATGCAAAGATGGTTCTGAGACCAAGGCAGTGCTGTGTAAAGACAGTTTTGTGAACAAAAGGCTAAATAGCAGCATCACATGGTTCCAGACTGAGCTGTTTGTTCTCGATAACCATAATAGAGCTCTTCTCATCACCATATGGGTTCAGGGTGGTGCTTCTACTGTGACCCTCTTGTACATGAACTTGACATACTGTGGGATCCCAGAGGTAAATGGGGAGGGGTCATCTGGATGCCTCCCCAAGCCCCCTGAGGCCTCTGCCAGTCCCTCGGCCTCCCCGTGTTTGTAGCCTGACCCTCTATGTAGAAGTTGCCTGCAATGGGCTCCTGGGGGCCGGGAAGGGCACCATGATCGCAGCCCCAGACCCAGAGAAGATGTTCCAGGTGAGCCGGGCTGAGCTGGCCTTGTTCCACCGGGATGTTCACAAGCTCCTGGTGGATCTAGAACTGCTGCTGGGCATAGCCAAGGTACTCGACATCCCCACCCTACCTGGTCACTCTGGAACTCTAGGCAGGTTGTTTCTTGGGTCAGATAGTTGGGACTCTGGAAATGCAGAATAGGGAAAGTGTTTCTGCCTGCCCAAGAGTTGATAGGATTTCTCTATGTAAAGGGGAGAAGGGAAACAATGCTGAGCCGGGGGAACAACAGGGGCAAAGAGTTAGAGGTAGGGAAGAGCTCTACTGAGAACCCTTGGGAGATTAGCCAGGGCCTAGGGCTGGGGACTTCGTTTGCTTCAGACAGGGATTAAGAGAGAGAATCCTGCTGCAGGGCCTTGGGGAAGACAACCAGCGCAGCTTCCAGGCCCTGTACACAGCCAACCAGATCGTGAATGTTTATGACCCGGCTCAGCCTGAAACCTTCCTGATGGCCCAGGATCTGGCCTCCAGGTTCTTTGGCCAACGTGGAGGTGAAAGTCAACATACCATCCATGCCATGGGGCATTGCCACATTGATACAGGTAGGGAGGCAGCTGGCTGGTTTGGCTGGGGGGTAGGCAGGAGTGACCTTGAAGCCCTGGCATTGTCCTGGAAGCACTGTAATCCTCAGCAAGTTCTTGCCCCTCTTGGGCCTCAGTATTCTCCATTTATAAAGGGACTAGACTGTGGGCTTTGGTAGGTGTAGCTTCATTTATTCTTTCAATAAAATCTAATGCCCCATGCTAGGTACTGGAGGGTAGGATTATAGAGACTGATCACAAAATTGATAGATACAGCTGGGACCATGATGGAGGGAAATATTGAGGGCTGGAGAGCCCAGAAGAGACACTTAACCTAGCTGGGTTGAGGGAATTCAAGAGAGGCTTTGGGGAGGAGGTGACTGTGAGCTTAATGAGAATGAGTAAGAACTTGATAGGGTGTCCAAGTTGTAAGAGAGGAGTAATATGGAAGTAAATAGAGATGGGTGCTCAAGCACAGGGGAGGTTTTTCTGGGTAGGGTCAAGGGTTCAGTTCTGAACCTGAAAAATTTGCAGTATCTGTGAGGCTTATAGGAAATCCACATTTTTTAACAAGCTCCCCAAGGTGTTGATTCTGATGCAGCTAAAGTTTCTAGACCACAGAACAAGGGCTTTCTCTGCTATGCCTCACCCAGAGGGTGAGGGCTCTGGGCTGGTAAGCAAGGAGAGGCAGTAGTGCTTCATTTAGGACAGTTGACCAGGCAAGGGTCCATCTTGGGGAGCTGTGCCCTACATCATTGTGTGGTAGGGAAAGGGTTAACTCTTGCTGCTGCTTATAGGATCCTCTTTGAGGTTGTCTAAACCTGAAGAGTGAGGCTATTCCAGGGCCAGGGGCCTCAATTTCCTGACCTGTAAAAGTGACCTGATTTCCCTGGTGGCCTCCCTGTCCCACCCCCTCCTACTGCCACCTAGCATGACTGATTGGAAGTGGTAGCTCAGGAGGGATACCATAGGGCTTTGCAGGGAAAGGGGCCTGGGATGGGAAGAGAGCTAGGAAGACCCTAGAGACCCAGGGTGGGCCTGGGCAGGGTGCTGGGGGACAGGGTGCTGGAGATCTGTGTGGAGCTGGGGACCTTACTGCTCTCCCTCCACCCTCTTTCCCACCCTCCCCATCTAGCCTGGCTTTGGCCCTTTAAAGAAACTGTGCGGAAATGTGCCCGGAGCTGGGTTACAGCCGTGCAGCTCATGGAGCGGAACCCTGAGTTCATCTTTGCCTGCTCCCAGGTCAGAGGGACAGCCATGTAGGGACACTAGAAGCCTAGTAGGTCCAAGAGTGATGTTCTGACGGCCTCCCCAACTTGAGGGGCAGGGCTCTTCCCCACCCTCAGCTGCCCACTGCTCCCCAGATACTTGGCCCTGGGTGTAGTCCTTGTCACTCCCAGCGCAACTCCTGCCCCATCTGCCTCACAGGCGCAGCAGCTCGAGTGGGTAAAAAACCACTACCCTGGCTTGTATGCCCGGCTTCAGGAGTTCGCCTGCCGTGGGCAGTTTGTGCCCGTGGGGGGCACCTGGGTGGAGATGGTAAGTGTAGTCTGCACACTCTCAGCCTAGGGCCATACAGTCATGAGCTTCCCTCCTGGGCTTTCTGCAGGCTCTTCACAACCCCTCTGTTGCAGCGCTTATTAGTCCTTGGAATTCCAAGGCCTGGGACTCCAATGAGGAGGAGGGTCTCAAGTACTGTGAAAGGCTGTCTGTATGACCCAGCCCAGAAGCTCCCCTTTAGCAGATAGATGGTCGGGTCTGAAGCTAGGAGATAGACACTTCCTGGTTGATAGTCATAACCTCTGGGTCAGAGCCATGGCTTCTCCTAAGAGGTGGGGTCGGCCTGAGTTCCTGCCTCTTCCCTATCTGGTGCTGACCCTGGCTGACTCCCTCTTCTCTCACTGCCAGGATGGGAACCTTCCCAGTGGAGAGGCCATGGTGAGGCAGTTCCTGCAGGGCCAGAACTTCTTCCTGCAGGAGTTTGGGAAGATGTGCTCGGAGGTAGGCTGGGAGCTGCTATTCCTTCAGGAGAATGGTGCTAGAGCTTGACCCGGAGAGATGAGGGGCTGAGGCTAGGGCTACTCTGCCAAAAACCCTGGTTCACGTGCCTCAGAGGCTCTTTTCCCACAGTTTTGGCTGCCAGACACATTTGGCTACTCGGCACAGCTTCCCCAGATCATGCACAGCTGTGGTATCAGGCGCTTTCTGACCCAAAAACTGAGCTGGAACTTGGTGAACTCCTTTCCGGTGAGCAGACCCCAGTCCAGTTGGTCACTTTAGAGTGGGCCTGGGTCCCACCTGGTCCATTCATCTCTCCGAAGGCTTATTCAGGAGCCTGGACAGATCACCCAATCCCCATCCAGATAGAGGGCATGCCTCCTCCACAGTCACACAAGGGGCAGGGCAGGTCTGGAAGGCCCAGCTCTGCCTCAGCCCTGACACTAGCCTCTTGTGTCTGCCTGCCCATAGCACCATACCTTTTTCTGGGAAGGGCTGGATGGCTCCCGTGTGCTGGCCCACTTCCCACCTGGTGACTCATATGGGATGGAGGGCAGTGTGGAAGAGGTGAGAGGGTACCTGGTGGCCAAGGTGGGGGCAGGGAGGTAGGCTGGAGAGGGCTGGGTGTCCTGTCCTACACTGAACCATGCTGACCTACCCTGCCTGTCAGGTGCTAAAGACTGTGGCCAAAAACCGGGACAAAGGGCGGACGAACCACAGTGCTTTCCTCTTCGGCTTTGGGGATGGAGGTGGTGGCCCCACCCAGACCATGGTGGACCGCTTGAAGCGGATATACAATACAGATGGGCTGCCCAGGTCAGGCCTGGCCCACCGGCACCCTCACTGAGCTGATCACTTAGCCCTTAACTTTGATCCCTTCTTTCTGCTCAAACATTTGGCCCAACCCACCACTGGGCTTGTCCTGCTCCAATCCTGGTCCATGGGCTCCCCTCAGCTTCTACCTTGGTGGTGACGTGGGAAAAAAGCTGAGAGGGGGAAGGGGCTTAAACTCACCAGAGAGAGAACTCTCCTGGGGTTTCCAGAGCTGGCTTTGTGTAGACAGGATTCTGGGGGTTGCTTCTTTCTTTGGGGGCTGGATCTCTTGTCCGCTCTGGTGTGGATGAAGGGTGAGGCATGTGACCCCCCCAAGGCTGGGAGACCCAGACTTGCAGTCTCCCTCAGGGTGCAGCTGTCTTCTCCGGAGAGATTGTTCTCAGCGCTGGAGAGTGACTCTGGGCAGCTGTGCACATGGGTCGGGGAGCTCTTCCTGGAGCTGCATAATGGCACCTACACTACACACTCCCAGGTCAGGAACTAGTCACTCTGCTGAGCAGGGAGAGTGAGTCCTTGATCTGTAGAGGGTGAGTGAAGGGAACAGGACAGACCCCACCCATATCTGGGGGAGGAGGCTTGTTCTTTTAAGGAGGAGCTGAGAGAAGAGCAAGAGGTGGGTGGGTCAGGAGCCTGGAGGAGGCTTGTGCTGAGGGAAGGAGGTATTTGGGACATGTTGCCCACAAGAGACTTCATCCAGGAGGCTCTGGGGGGCCATCAGAGGTTCTGAGCCAGGGAGGGCTTTGGAAGGTGTTCTGGGATACTCGAGCAGACTTTAGACTCACTCTCCTCGCTGATTTGGGCTCAGATCAAGAAGGGGAACCGGGAGTGTGAGCGCATCCTGCACGACGTGGAGCTGCTCAGCAGCCTGGCCCTGGTCCGCAGTACCCAGTTTCTATACCCGGCAGCCCAGCTACAGGACCTCTGGAGGTCAGCCTGGCTCTGCCCCGTCACCCACTTGACTTCACCCAAGACACCTCTGTGACTGCCCTTCCTAGCCTTCATTCTTCCCACCCTCCTGGCTTTCCCCATCCCTGCCCATGGCCCCTGCAGGCTCCTGCTCCTGAACCAGTTCCATGATGTGGTGACTGGAAGCTGCATTCAGCTGGTGGCAGAGGAAGCCATGTGCCACTACGAAGGTTAGGCTGAGAACATCCGGGCTGCTCTCCCAGTACCCCAGGCTGAGCCCAGAGTGTCACCTCTGGGACACAGTGGGTCATCCTAGATTCATTGCCCACTCATGACCATCCAGTTTCTCCTCAGACATTCGTACCCGTGGCAACACACTGCTCAGTGCTGCGACTGCAGCCCTGTGTGCTGGGGAGCCAGGTCCTGAGGGCCTCCTCATTGTCAATACCCTGCCTTGGAAGCGCACTGAAGTGTTGGCCATGCCCAGGCCTGGCGGGACCCACAGCCTAGGTATGAGCTGGGAGAAGGGTTGCTAGTGCAGCAGGAGGCCAGACCAAGAGTCAGGGACACTCCCCTAAGGATCTCTGCCCTGGGGTTTCCCAGGCTGGAGAGTAGCAGTACTAGTATCCCCCCATCCTGGAACGAGGCTCCTGGAAGTTCAGGGAGGCTGCACTGATGCCCAGGCCTTATCCCCAGCCTTGGTGACAGTGCCTAGCATGGGTTATACTCCTGCTCCTGCCCCCACCTCACTGCAGCCCCTGCTGCCCCAGCAGCCTGTGTTTGTTGTGCAAGAGGTGAGTGCTGGCATGTCCAGATGGGCAGGGCTGGGAAGGGGCTTAACAACATGGGGGTTCTGAGCTCCCCAGACTGGAGCAAGTGGTGAGGCAGGGCTGGGGTGGGATGCTGTTGGTTGTGGGAAGCCCCTCCCAGCTCAGTTTCGAGGCCCCCTTCTGCCAAGACTGATGGTTCTGTGACTCTGGACAACGGCATCATCCGGGTGAGGCTGGACCCGACTGGCCGCCTGACATCCCTGGTGCTGGTGGCGTCTGGCAGGTGCCAGCCCCTCACTGCCTTCTCCCAGGGTCTGGCAGGTGGATCCCAGACCTTTCCCTCTGTCCCCTGGCCAGAGCATTCCCCGCAGCAGCCCACCAGTGGCTCTGGGTTGGGACCCACTCATGGAGCAGGGCAGGCTGGGCTGGGGAGGTCCTTTTCCCCTGGGCCTACTCACCCTGCCCCCACCCCACTTTGAGCATCTGGAGAGACCAAGGTCATGTTGTAAAGCACCAATCCCTATCTCCTTCCAGGGAGGCTATTGCTGAGGGCACTGTGGGGAACCAGTTTGTGCTGTTTGATGATGTCCCCCTGTACTGGGATGCCTGGGACGTCATGGATTACCACCTGGAGACACGGTATGGATGGGCAGGATGTCAGGTGGGGGTGGGCATACAGGCCTATTGGGCCCCTCCATCAGCTGGCCCTGGGTCACTCAGAGCCTCCCACCTCTTCTCCCCAGGAAACCAGTGCTGGGCCAGGCAGGGACCCTGGCAGTGGGCACTGAGGGTGGCTTGCGGGGCAGTGCCTGGTTCCTACTGCAGATCAGCCCCAACAGTCGTCTCAGCCAGGAGGTTGTACTGGATGTCGGCTGCCCCTATGTCCGCTTCCACACCGAGGTAGCAGGGGGTAGGGTGGTGGCTGTCTTTCCTAGGTGTGTCTAGCAAGGAGGGGCCCACCCCAGGCCTCTGTGTGTCTCTCCCTCCCCTCACCTTTTACTCCCACCCCAGGTGCACTGGCACGAAGCCCACAAGTTCCTGAAGGTGGAGTTCCCTGCCCGTGTACGGAACCCCCAGGCCACCTATGAGGTTCAGTTCGGGCACCTGCAGCGGCCCACCCACTACAACACCTCTTGGGACTGGGCTAGATTTGAGGTCTGATGTGGGTGAGGTGGGGGGTTTGGATTTTCTCTGGGGAGAGGCTATTTGTTTAGAATTGGGGCGAGGACAAGCAATATTTGCTGGTTCCTAATGTGTGCCAGGCATTGTGCTAAATGCTTTATGTTTAGTTTGATACTCATGCCCATTTGGTGGGCTAAGTACTATTCTCCCCATTTCACAGATGAGGAACTGAGGAATAGACAGTTTGGGTGGTGTCCAGGGCCTCCTATTATGAGAGCTGGAATTCAATCCTGGGGTCCCAGAGCTTGCCTCTTTAGTGATGGGAGTAAAAGGAGAAGGCAGGGCCACCAGGTGGGTCTGGGATGTGCTCTCTAGGTGTGGGCCCACCGCTGGATGGACCTGTCGGAGCATGGCTTTGGGCTGGCCCTGCTCAATGACTGCAAGTACGGTGCATCGGTTCGGGGCAGCGTCCTCAGCCTCTCGCTGTGAGTGGTGTGCTGCCAGGCCTAGGGCTGGCATGGAGGCGGGGGTCTTCCTGGGCCAGAATTCCAGCCCGGCTAATTCCCTCCTCTGCAGCTTGCGGGCACCTAAAGCCCCTGACACAACTGCTGACTTGGGGCGCCACGAGTTCACGTATGCATTGATGCCGCACAAGGGTGAGTGCTACCTTGCCCCTTCTCTGCTCTCCTCCAAACCTTGGTTTTTCCAACAGTCAGTGGGGAAAATAGCAGCCCCATGCCCATACCCCCTTTTGTACCACTGGCACTGTTCTGGCCTGTGCCCAGGCTCCTTCCAGGATGCTGGAGTTATCCAAGCAGCCTACAGCCTCAATTTCCCACTGTTGGCGCTGCCTGTCCCAGGCCGGGTGCCCACAGCTGCCTGGAGTGCCTTCAGTGTGTCCTCCCCGGCGGTGGTGCTGGAGACCGTCAAGCAGGCAAGGGGTGTGGGATGGGGTGTGGTGGGGCTGGGTGGGTCTCAGCTGGGTCCACCTTTGGCCCTGCCCACTGCCCACTTCCCTCAGCAGGCTGAGACCAGTCCCCAGGGCCGCACACTAGTGCTCAGGCTGTACGAGGCCCATGGCAGCCACGTGGACTGCTGGCTGTACACATCACTGCCAGTTCAGGAGGCTGTCCTGTGAGTGGGATAGGGGGTGGGGGCAGGGTGGGAGCCCTACTCTCGTGCGGGGTCCTCATGGCCCCTCCTTTCTTGCAGCTGCGACCTCCTGGAGCGACGAGACCCTGCTGGCCACCTGCTCCTTAGGGACACCCGTCTGAAACTCACCTTTTCTCCCTTCCAAGTGCAGTCTCTCTTGCTTGAGCTGCAACCTCCACTGAATTGAGTCCCTGAGGGTGGGGACTGTTTGTGGAAGGCTTTGGGGGCTGCCTCCCTGCCCAAAGCAACAATAAATCCTTGGCTCAGGAGCCCTACTGGTAACTCCTGCTCTCTTCTCTTAGGGCCCATCTTCATGGTTTTGAGGGGAGAAGGCTATTTCCCAGGCATTTGGGGGCAGGGGCAAAATTAAGGTGATCTGTATGTGCAGCCAGGGTCTGGGTTGCAGCCCCCATGAGAGAGAGGGAATATATATCCATGACCACAAGATAAGAGCATGAGATAAGAAACTCCTCCCCTGTGTCAGCAGGCAGAGGACCTGGGTCTGGGTGGGTTCCAGCTAGTCCCCACTAGGAGGAGAGTACTGACTAGTCTGGGCCAGGCTGGGGAGCAACCACAGGCCCTGAGGAATCCTGGACTAGAGGAGCTATGGGGCCTGGGGTCTCTATACTACCTCTGAGGGGCTATCTGCAAAAACAGACTACCCTCTGAGAGCCAGGGCCTTGAGGACTCGGATGGGGCTGTTTGCCTTGCTGAGAAGGTAGCTTCTTATACTCAGGACCAGGCAACAGGCCTACTAACTTGGCCATTCCATACCTTCTGTAGCCAGCCCAAGACGTTTATATCAATTTATATTTTTAAAAATACAACATTTTTCACATGTGCTTAAAAAATGGGGATGGTAGGGTGCAATTAAAAATATCATGGTTATGTAGGGAACAGCCACAGGGTTACAGGTATCTAGCCCCCTTCACCTACTGCCTGCTTCTAGGAAGCCACATGCCCCAGGTCCAGTGCAAGGCAGCGGGAAGAGGTAGATGCAAGCAAGGAGATCCTCCTGCTAGGAGGCTGAGGTCTCCTCAGGCACCAAAGGTGGGATGTCAGTCTTGATCTTTTGGGGACTGCAGCAGCCTGGGGAGGACAGGTGAGGTGGCAACTCAGACCCCAGGTTGAGGAATGCCCCGACAGCCTTCCTTCCCGCCTTTGTTCACATGTAACATCTGCCCATACTGCCATCCTTTCCTTCCGGAAAGCCCCTTTTGGTGGTGCCCCTTCCATCCCCAGAGGAACAAGCTAAGGAATGCCCACCTGAGTTTGCCCATGTCCCCCTCCTCTTCCCTTTCTCAGTGACTGGGGGGACTTTTGGGTCTTGTTGGAGGCTGGTTCCCTCATGCTGTTGGGCTGTTGTTTGCTCAGGAAGGCCTCTCCATGCCCTTCTTGTCCTGGAAGGGGCCTTGCTTGGGGGTGGACGGTCCTGGATAAAGGAGACACAGGTTCCTGAAGTGCTCAGAGAGCAGTTCAGAGGTTGGTTAAGATCATCATCACCCCCAAAAAGCCGGGCTTGGGAGGTGCAGCCAGGGCAGAGGAGAGTGAGTGCAGGGAGGATTTAGGAGCAGGGAGTGATACCTCAATTCTGTCCTCTGGACCCCGCTGTGCTCCCTTGGATTTCTTATGGGACTTGCTCCCTGGAAGACACTGATGCTGGGGTTGCAAGGTCCTATGGCCTTGGGCCCTTTCTCCAGACTCTCACTCTCCCACTCGGGTGACTCCCAGGGTTGGAGTGGGGACCGAGGAGTTGCAGGCAACTCATCCTTTCTGTTTTCTTAGCTTATTATATTAGGAGTACCTTACCTTTGGGTGCCAGAGGTCCAGGATCCCCCTAAAATGGAACAGGGAAAATTCAGGAATCAGCCTGGTTGGGGCAGGGCTCATTTTCCCTTGAAGAGACAGGACTCACACCTATCTTTCCAGACTAGTGTAATCCTCCCCTGGGAAGCCTCTTAACTGCCCACTCCCTGCCAGGTCAGAGCCAACATCAAGGCCACCCTGCCTTGGGGTGCTGTACTAGCTGGGACCCTGAGATTTAGAGGGGGGGGAGGGTCATTGCATAGGGAAGGCTTAGACCCTCAGGGACAGTGTGACATTTGGGGGCCTAGATAGAGACTCCATCTCCTGCCCAGCTGTGACCCCAGGTCTCTACCCCCTATCCCCCTTTGGGATCTCTGCCTGTATGAGCATTAGGGCCCAAACCTGGAACCAGATGGTGCGGCCGTGCCGGTCCCGCAGGGAGCTCATGCCCACCATGCCATAGCACTGCAGCCAGGCTCGAAAGGCTGTAAAGTCCTCCTCCCCACTGTCCGGCCCATAGCCCTTGCCCCCTGTGGACAGAGGACCCACGCAGAGGTTAGAGGGCAGACCCAGGCTGGGAGGAGGGGGAGCCTGATGGACTGAGAAAGGGGCCAAGGCTCATTTCCAGTGTGGGACCTCAGGTGTCTTCCCCACTCTGGGCCATGGCTTGCTCATCCTGGAGTGGGGTTAATAATCCTTGCCCTGCCTGCCTCATGGGCAGCTTGGAGGACAGACACCTGACAAGTGAGGAGGCCTAGTCCATTTAGCAACAATGAGGTCTACAAACTTCCATTCCCCAGGTAAGGAACCAGGTCCAGAAAGGGGCAGCAACTGTACTGGGGTTATAAAATATGCCAGCGCACAGGTAGTTGACCATCTGTGCCTCCCGGGCCTCACCCAGCTGGACTACTTCCTTGGGCACTGAGTGGCACAGCTCCAGCAGGTCTGGGTTCTGCAGCTTGGCCTTGATCTTCTGGCTCAGAGTCAACTTGGGGCTCTGGAGAAGTGGCAGGGACAGAGCCTGGCTGTCAGCATGAGGCAGGGCCTCTAAGAAGGCAACTGACCCTATCAGGAGCAGACCGCCTCTGAGATTGCCAGGACTCAGAGGTGGTTCATCCCCTCCCCGGTGCACACACAAACATTGTAGAAAAGGAAAAATTAAAGACCTGCTTGGGTTACACTGGAGACACCTGACCCAGCCCATACCCTGTCAGCCCTTGCTGGTAGGTATGTGTGCCTCCCTCCCCTGCACCCTTACCGGCCTTTGCTGCTTCAGCGCCTCCAGAACAGTGCGGGCCTTTTCGAAGGGGGGTATCCTCAGCCTGCAGTGGGGTAGAGTGAGGCATGCTAAGTAGTGGGGAATGTGGGCACCCAGCCTACCCCAGCCCTTGTGCCCATGGTCTGCCTGCTGACCTGTATAGAATCTCTGCCCGCAGATAGTTGCCAATGCCATTGAAGAACCTCTGGTCCAAGAGGGCCTCACAGATGGGCCGGTCAAAGACCTTGTCTGCTAGGTTTCGTAACACATTCTCCCTGGAGGGACACAGCCTGGGCACATGAGACCCATTCTGCCCTCTCATCCCCCCACCTCGCCATGGGATGGGGAGAGGAGCTGGGAGAACCTGTTCCTAGGTGCCAGGGGAAGGAAATTGGGAGTTCCGTTTCCCTTTTTCCAAGACTCAGTGCTATTTTGGCAGTAGGAACCTCAGTTTTCCTATCTGTTAAATGAGAACAACAATTTATGATTTTCATTACAAAAGCTGAAAAATTCCAACCAAAAGCAATGAGTTCAAGGAGACACACACGAGTCTGTATCTGTTGTGTGTATGCCACCAGAGTAACACAGACTCCAGACATTTTTGAGAGCAAGGTGATCACAGGACCTCAGGTGTGTCTGCAGTCTGGAGCTCCCTGTCTAGGACTTTTGGGTGTTTAGATATGAAGAGTTGACACTGACTTCTTCTCAAGACCTGAAGATTTTTAAGGAGGCTGTTACTAGCTCTCTGCAGCAGGTGTGTGGGGGCATGTCCTAGTGAGGGCCCCAGCAGCCCCTGCCCCACCTCTAAGGGTCATGGATCTCTCCTTGCCACTGTGAAGAGGAAATGCATCTTGTTTCTTTGTGGAAAAGGACCACAGCAAAACTAACTCAGTGATGGGCCTAGAAGCATATGAAATAGGGGACCAGAAGACAGAGTTTGGGGATAAATGGAAGAGTGGAAGGTTAGCCTGGGTGGCCAGCTCCCTGAGGGCAGCAAATCCCTATAGGCTCCCCAGCTATAGGACCAAGAAAACAAGTGAGATGCTCATTCTGTGTGAGAAACTTCAGTCAGCTGGCAAAGACTTAACCTGTGACATGACTCCCCAGGAGAGGTGAGGTAGAGGAATCCAGGACCATAGATGTTTCCCTGGGGATACAGTTGAGGTCATGCCTGGGAAGGCCAGGAGTCAACTGCCTTCTGTGGTGCCAGACATGCCCTGACCCACCCCAGTGGGCAGGTAAGTCTCCTAAGGGCCAAGTGATGGTGCACCATCCCCAGGGAAGGGAGGATCCACCAAATGTACTCCAGGCCTTTGCGTCTCTGATGCTGGTCAGTTTGAATGTTTTTCCTCTAGAGCAGGGGTAGGGAACCTTTTTCCTGCCAAGGGTCATTTGGATATTTATAACATCATTCTTGGTCCATATAAAATTATCAACTTAAAAATTAGCTATGAAAAAACCTAGATTGATTGAATTTTGAATTCCACCTGTGGTTGCCTTGGCAGGGTTAGACCAAATGATTTTGTGGGCTGTGTACGCCTGCAGGCTCGACGTTCCTTACCCCTGCTCTAGAGCTTTGCATGACTGGCTCTCAAGCAGGTCTCAGCTCAAATGTTACCTCCTAGAGTGTGGCCTTTCCTAATGTGCCTCCCCTCCCCGATTCCCTGGCCAAAAGTCATTCTCTCCCTCCGATTTTTCAGTAATGTGTCTATATGAATTCATCTAGTTTGTTTCCTTCTCCCTCTGCCCTGGCTGAACTTCAGCTCTTGATCACTTCTGTACCCTCAATACCTAGATCAGGGCCTGGCACACAGCAGACTCGTACACATTTCCTCTTTAAAGAAAGGGAAATGGCTGACACTGTGCCATCTAATGTGACCTGCATCACATCCCAAGTAGGGCTGTTACCCCTCCCACAGGCAGAAGACAGTCACTGAGGAGACCATGGGACACACCAGTGGGCAGGCAGAATGTGGGAGACCACAAAACCTGATTCAGAAACCATGTCAGTCCCCTCCCCACCACCTTGAAACACTTCCTTCCTGCTCAGCCTCCCTTTTAAGTTGTTAAAACCCTCCACCTTTCTTAGCCTCCTGAGGGCACCAAGAAGCAGTGTGGAGTGCTGATCCAGCCTCAGCTCTCACAGTAACTGCCTATGTCCTCAGGGATTGCCTACCTATTCACCTCTTGCCCCCACCTCCGCCCATATCAGTTTCGGGTTTTCATATCCATGAGCTCAGGGAGCTGTCCCCAGGGAAGTACACTGTCTTGTTCTACAGAGGAAGGGATGGAGGCTCAGGAGGGACTGCGACTTGCCCCTCTCTGGCCAACAAGGGACTAACGGTCAGGGGCTGGCCCTACCTACCTGAATTGTTCATACTCGCGCAAGACGCATGGCCCACGGCCTGGCTGCCACTCACCCCCGAGGACCCAGTGGCCAAAGCGGCGGATGTCCACGAAGCAGAGGGCAAGTCGAGGACCAGGAGGAGCTGTGTAAAAGCGCAGATGAGCATGGGGTGGTAGCGAATTGCTGGGTGCCAGCTGGAAGGACCCAGACATGCCAAAGTGGAAGATGAGGGCCAGTGGCTCCTGTGGGGGCTGGGCCCCAGGCAGGGGGCTCAGTGTCAAGCGAAGCTCCTTGCCACGGGCTGTGGCTGAGATGTAGTAGGCACTGCTCTCAAAGGGCACCTCAGGGTTGCGGCTGATGGGTGACTTCTCCACACACCCACCAAACACCAGCCCCCTGCATGACTCGTTCACAAAGTGGCTGGCCAGATGCAGCTCAGGGCCCTCAGGCATTTTCTTCCAGGAGTGGGCAGTCCCTGTTGGGCAAGAATGACTGCATGTTAGATCAGGTGTGCACCTTGTGAAGTAGGCTTTATCACCCCCATTTTACAGAGGAGGACCCTGAGGATCAGAGGGAACCATGGATGACTGGGTTTGGCAGAAAATTCTGCTGGCCTGGCCACAGTCCTTGGCACCCACTTGAAAATGCTAGGAAAGTCCAGGGCACCAAGGAGCTCAGGCTGGGAAAGTGTGACTGCCTTGCTTATTAACACCTTCCATGATGGGCTTCCATGAACCCTTGCTGCTTTTAGAATAAAGTCCAGATCCTTTCTGGTCCCATGCTGTCATGTCATTTCTTCCCACTTGTTCCAAGCTCACTGCTTTTCCCATCCCCATGCCTTTGCCCCTGTTGTCCCCTCAGTCTGAGAACACTTGAGCGGCCCTTACTGACCACCTTCCAAAGTAGCCTCTCCACCAAAACCCCCGCCACCAGGCGCACGTTTTCTTTTCTTCATGGCACTCCCAAATCTGAAATTTATTGTCGTCTGCCTTTACCTCCACTTCTCCAATGGAAGCTCAGCTTGTTCACCACCTCACCGCTCACAACCGACCTCATCTGTTGCCACAATTGCTGAGGGAATGAGCCTGACCCCACCTGGGAGTTGGGAGCTGGGAAAACTTAACTTTTGGAGGCTCAGCTGGCAGGGAGGACGAGTCAGGACCGGAGCAAGGACCGGAGGAGGGCATGCAGATTTCCCTAGGTACTTCTGTGCTAGGAAGGTCTCTCCGAGCTCCAGGCTAGGGTGCAAGACAACAGGACACGCCCAGATCGGCGCTAAAGTCCGAGGGGAACCGACTCTACTTCCTCTCCCTACCCCAGGCCACCTGGCGGAGGAGGGGAGTTTGCTGCTTCCTCTCCCCCAAGACGCCGCGGGATCGAAGGCGCAGGTATGGTCTGGCAGAGGGGGCGTTTAGACTCCTTTCCCCCCCACACACACTTTCGCACCGTCGGGACCAGGCACCCGAGAGTTCACTCTGAGAGAAAAGGTGAAGGTCCAGATTCCTAATTCTGCTGAGGGCGGGCACTCTATGGCCCGCTCCCCCAATCCTCACCACTCACCCCCTCTGCCTGTCCTCGGTACACCCTGGCTCCCTTCCCCCGCAAGGCCGCCAAATCCCAACCTCCCTTCAGTCTGCGGTACACCCCCCTCCCCCCCATGTCTTTCCCAGCCCCGGGGTACCTGCGCCCCGCGCCCCCGTCTGCTAACCTGCAGCCACTAAGGGGTTAAAGTCGTGGGCGGAGCCGCGCTGAAGGGCAAGTCGGAAACTGCTGCTCCAGCGCTCGCTGGGAAATGTAGTTCCTCGGGCAGGGCGCCCAGGCCTTTGAGGTGGGGTCCCTGAGCAGGAAGGTCCGTGGTGTGGGAAAGGCTTTGGGGCAGTCACCTGGGTGGGAGGGTGGCGCCTGCTGGATCCGGGGTCAGGTCCGAGGTCCCGCGTCGCAGCTGTCTCTGTGGCTGGGGAAGTCACCAGGCTAGTGACAGGGTCAGTACTCCCAGCCTGAGACAGCATTCATATCCCAAAGCAGAGGCTCCAGCCAGAAGTGCGCATGTGCGCGATAAACGCGGGCCCTGGGGACCCTGTGGTGGCCCTGAGTATCAACGGACAGTCATACATAACTTATAAACAGAAACGTCATTACCACCTGTGAATGAGAAATGCAGCCAAGCAACAAAAAACAAGCGAGAAGCAGAACCCACATCAGATGGTTCTGTGGGGGGAAGGTCTCTCTGCAATGACATTTAGGCTGAGACCTCAGAAGTAGAGGGCAAAGAGTGGGGACAAGATACGTGCCATCACGAACTGGAGCCATCAGAACCACCAACTGGCTGTGGGCAAGAGCAGCAAGATGCTGCATGCAGCACATTGACTACATACAGGATGAGGTGCACCTTGTGAGATGCTCCTATCTTTACTGGCACCTTCAAGGTTTTTGACAAGCATATGAATTTGATCAAGCCCAAGTCAAGCAGAAAGAGGAGAGAAGCTAGTCCTGTCTGGAGCAGCTTCGAGGGGAGAGCCTGGTCTCAGTGACAGTAGAGGGACCTCCTCCTAAAGATACTGGCATTGCCCTAGTGCCACTTGCTGGAGCTGCTGGGGGCCCAGGGATTGGTAGGGCTGCTGGCAGAGGAATCCTAGCTGGTGTTCCCATGCCCCAGGCCCCTGTAGGACTTGCTGGGCAGTCCATGGGATTGGTGGGCGATCCCAACTCTGCAAATAAAGAGGCACTGTTGCAGCTGCTGCCACTGCCAGTATTGCAGGGGTCCAAACCCAGTACACACCTGGCCCTGGGGGCCCTCCCCCACCTACTGCCGAGGGACACCCCTCCAGGCATGATGGTCCCACCGCCTAGTATGAGGCCTCTCACAGGTCCCCTAATGGGTATTCCCCGTGGAGGAGGAAGTTCAGTGGGCATGTCTCCTCCAGGAATGCAGCGCCCTCCCCCAGAGATGTGAGGACTTCTTTGACCCTTGGCCATAGTTATGGAAGTAGCTCCACAGAGGCATTGGCCCAGTGTCCCAGGGCCACGTTATCACAGACCTGTTTGTTTGTTATACCATTGGAGTCTCACCAGATTGTTTGGTTTCCCTTACAGGGCCCTCTCCCCAGGGAACGTGCCCATTGTGGCCATCCTCAGCTCCCCTTTCTCAAAAGACTATACATAGTCTTTTATTTCCTTGTGGCCTGTGAAACACATTTATAATAAAATCTTAAGATACTATTTGAAAAAAGACAACATGCCAGGTAGAAAGAAGGGACAGCCAGTGCAAAGGCCTGGAGGAAGGAAAGCAATTGGCTCATTGAAAGAAGGCCTGTGTGGCTGGCGTGTAACTGGGAGAGTGCTGGGAGATGAGGACAGACACAAGCAAGTTCAGGTCAGGTCAGGCCTCAGGAGGCCTCTGCAAGGAGTTCACATTTCATCCTAAGTGTGTCTGACCTATAGTCAATGATTTGCTCCCTTCATACTAGACTTCCGCCTCATTCCCTCTTCATCTATAAATTCATTTATTTTGGCATAAGTATTTTTAAAGTAAATTAGACAAATTATGACATTTCATCTCTAATACAGCATGCATTTCTGTAAAGCAATTTCCTACAAAGCCACAATAACTATCCAGTGATTTTCAACTTTTTTCATCTCATGGCACACATAAACCAGCTTCTGAGTCACACCAAAAAAATGTATTTTTGCCGCTCTGACAAAAAAAATAGGTATAATTTTGATTCATTCACACTGGACAGCTATTGTGTTGGCTGTTGTCATTTTTAAACTTGACAATCTAAGGGAAAAGTGGCCAGTGCCCTGACTAAATAGTCAAGTATTGAATGTTTTAAAAATGCTTGTGGCACACCAGCATGCGGCAGCACACTGGCTAAAAATCTCTGCATTTATCACACCCAATAAAATTATTAGCTTTTTTTAAACCTCATCCAAGGATATTTTTTCCACTGCTTCTCAGAGAGAGTTGGGGGGGAGAGAAAGAGAAACATCAATGTGAGAGACACATAGATTGGTTGCCTCCCACACATGCCCCAAATGGGGCCAGGAATGGAGCCTGCAACTGAGGTACCTGCCCTTGGCCTGAATGGAATCCAGGACCCTTCAGTCTGTGGGTTGATGCTCTAACCACGGAGCAAAACCGGCTGGGCAACAGTATCTTCTTAATATCATCTAACACCTAGTCCACACTCAAATTTCCTTAATTGTCCCCCAAATGTCTTTTACGGCTATTTGTTCAAGGCAGAGTCCAATCAAGGATTTTTTTTTTTTTTTTTTTCTCAGTATCTGCATAGACAGTCAAAACTTGCCAGTGCTGACTATAGTTCAAGTCATCATGGCCGGGTATTGGGAAAATTTTTCAATTAGCAATAATTGTGCCTCAGATAAACCTCATTGGCTGCAATACTGCCACTGGGCAAAACTGGGTATATATGTCTCTTTACAATCATTCTTAATCTAGATGGAATCACCCTTCCCACCCACACCCCCACCTCACCCCCTTTTCTTGGTTTCCATGATACTGATCTTTCTGAAGAGATTAGGCCAGTTGTCCTTTGAGATACCTCATCACATTCTGGGTTTGTCTGAATGTCTCCTTAGACATTAATTTGTTCCTCTACTAAGTTTTTCCTGCACATTAGGAATCAGATATAAAGGCTTGGCTACATGTTTTCAAGGTCACCTCCTAGTCACTGTTCTGTACTGCAAACTACATCACATTAACAGTTGAAGGCGCCCAATATCTTGTTGTCCCACTTTAGTGAGTCTGAAACTGATCATGGATGAAACTGTGACAGCCAGACCTCTGTGTTTTAAAGTTGTTTTACACCTTCTGACCACTAAGTAATCTATGGAGGTGATTTCTTTGTCTTGTTGGTCACTTCTTATTTAAATCAATGTATAATTTACATACAGTAAAATTCACCTTTTAGAGTACAAGTTTTGATAAATACATACACTCATGAAACCATCACCACAATCAATAGATAATACATTTCCATCACCCCCCAAAATTTGCCCATGCACCTTTGTAATCAACACTTTCACCCTACCCCCTGGCAAATCCTGATCTGCTATCCCTGTAGTTTTTGCCTTCTCCATAATATCATGTAAATGAAATCCTTACTATGTAGCCTTTTGAGTCTGGTTTCTCTCTTTTTGTGTGTTTTCTTTCTTTTTAAAAAATACTCATTAAGAAATTTATCAGTTAAATAATTATAACTTACTGGAATAGTATCATTATGGGTAGGCAGTTTATCTGTGGAAACACTTATTTTTTTTAATCCTCACCTGAGGATATTTTTTCCATTGCTTTTCAGTGAGAGTGAAAGGGAGAGAGGCAGGGAGGGAGGTAAACAGAAACACTGATGAGACGAATCGATTGGTTGCCTCTTGCATGCACCCCAACCGAGGCCAGGTATCCAGCCTGCAACCGAGGTATGTGCCCTTGACCGTAATCGAACCCAAGACCCTTCAGTCCATACTCTAACCACTGAGCCAAACCAGCTAGGGCTACGGAAACACTTATAAAACAAACCATTATGAAATGCTGTTTCTACTTTATACCTCTTTTTAAATTTTTTAATTACAGTTTACTTTTAATATTATTTTGTATTGGTTTCAGGTGTACAACTTAGTGGTTTGTTCTTTATTTAAAAAATTATTTTTCAACTATAATTGACATACATTGAGTCTGGTTTCTTTCTCTTAGCATAATGCATTTGAGATCCATCCAGAGTTTTATGCTTATCAGGTCATTCCTTATTATTGCTGAGTAATATTCCACTATGTGGACATACCAATGCGTTTATCTACTTATTGGCTGAGGGGCACTGGGTTGTTTGAGGTGATTGTTTGGCACCACACAAATACCCAGTTTCATATCACACCCACCTTTTACCATAGGACTTTAGCATCTTTGATAATCCTGCTTCAATCAAGCATTTAATTGGGAATCACAAAATGGTTATTTTCTAATTCTGTTCTTCCTTCTACATTGGTTGGAATTTTTCTGTAAAGAAGAGCTTTACCTCATCGACTAGGGCTATTTGATAATCCTGAAATACTAAAAAGACAGGATAAATTTTGAACTTCTCCCCTTTAAATGATCAATTTTTAGACTAAGAATTTGGTTCAATAATATCCAATGGTGACAAGTTATGATTGATTTGGGTTTTTTGGGGGGAGGGGGGGCTTTTTATGGACTCATAGATTTTTTTACATTCAACATCTTTAAATCCATTGCAGCCTGTATCCCCTCTCCCCCTTTATTGAAAGAGTACTTTATTAGGCATTGGGGCTATTCAAACATGGAAGACAATTCCCATCCTTAGGAAACTCAGGCTGGTAAAAGAGGCAAATGAGTCAATACAAAATTACAATGCATTGTTACATTAGCAAAGAGAGAAGTATCCGTGGGATTCTGTGATAATATAAAGAGGGAATACTACCTGGGAAATGAAGCTAATATTATACACTTGATGAGACCTAGAACTTCCATGACTTGTCTGCCATCTTATTTGGTTTATTGTTTTTCATTTTTGTTTTCTTTTTCTTGCCCTCTTGTGGGCTACCTGAACATTTTTTAGAATTCCAGTTGATTTATCTAAATTGTTTGTTAGTGTATTACACTGTATAGCCTTTAAATGGTTGCTCCACAGTATAGCAGGGTCCTCAAATAATGTTTTGTTCAATGTTTTGTTATAACATTGATGAGATGCCATAGGAACTTAACTCTTGTTTATTAGCCTATGGTAAAATTGGTTTTGTTATACATCATCGTTTCACTTAAAGTCACAGAGCCTACTGACAATGTTGAAGACTTACTGTTTTACATTATACAGATATATTTGTCACAGTTCCCTGGTATTGACATTTTGTCAGTTTGAGTGAAGGGTAGAAACCTTACCTCTCTTTACTGTCTCCTGTTTATAATAACCTTAAATATTTCCTCTATATACATTGAGAATCACATCCAACACTTTTATAAGTTTAGCTTCAACTGTGGAACATAATTTATGACGTTTGCGAGGAAAGACTATTGTATTTATATTTTTCTCTTTCCAAGATTCCTTCTTTTATCATTTCCCTTCTATTTAGAGATTCTCCTTTAACCTTTTTATTTTTAGGTTAGGTCTGCTGGTAACAAATCATATTATTCTTCATCTGAAAATGTCTTGATTTCCACTTTTATTCTTGAGGTAATTTTTGCTGAATATAGAATTCTGAGTTGACATTTTCCTTCCAGGGCCTGAAAATGCCATGCTTCTTCCTTCTGGCCTCTATTTCTGATGAGAAATCCACTGTTATTCTAATTGTTTTCCCTCTATAAGGTGTCATTTCTCTGTTGCTGCTTTCAAGATCTTTTTCTTTCCTTTAGTTTTCAGAAGCTTGATTATGATATACCTTGGCATGGGTTTCTTTGGGTTTGACCTGTGTAGGGTCCATTCTGCTTTTAACTCTGTAGGTTTATGTCTTGTGCCATATTTGGGAGTTTTTTAGCCATTATTTCTTTCAATACTTTTCTTTCCCACCCTCTTTTTCTTCACCTTCTGGGACTCTGATAACATGACTATTAGATCTTTTGTTATAGTCCTACAGATCCCCAAGGTTTTGTGGGTTTTGTTTTGTTTGTTTTCCAAGCTGTTTTCTCTCTGTTGTCCATATTGGGTAATTTCTTTTGACCTTCCTTCTGCTGTTAAGTCCATCCATTGAGATTTTCACTTTGGTTATTACAGATTTAAAAATTCTATCTGGTTCTTTATATTTTCTATATCTTTGCTGAGACTTAAAGCATTTTTATGATGGCTGCTTTACAAATATTTGACATAGAATTCTAACATCTGAGTCATCTTAATGTTGGTGTTGGTTGTCTTTTCTCATTCAAGTTGAGATTTTCTAGGTTCTTGGTATGATGAATGATTTTTAAAATATATATATAATCTTAATTGATTTCAGAGAGAGGAAGGGAGAGAGAGAGAGAAACATCAACGATGAGAGAGTCATTGATTGGCTGCTTCCTGCACGCCCCCGACTGGGGATCGAGCCTGCAACCCTGCATGTGCCCTGACCAGGAATTGAACCGCAATCCTCAGGATCCTAGGTCAATGTTCAACTGCTGAGCCACGCCCAGCTGGGCATGATGATTTTTAATTGAATTATGTACATTTGGGGTATTATGACTCTGGATCTTAACTGTCTCTTTTAAAGCAGACCTCCTCTGCCCGGCCGGGCGTGGCTCAGCGGTTGAGCATCGACCTAGGATCCAGGTGATCAGGGTTTGATTCCTGGTCAGCGCACATGCCCGGGTTGTGGGCTCGATCAATGACTCTCTCATCATTGATGTTTCTCTCTCTCTCTCTCTCTCCCTCTCCTTTCCTCTCTCTGAAATCAATAAAGATATATTTTAAAAAATAAAATTAAAAAAAAATAAAGCAGACCTCCTCTGACAAAGTGCCAGTGGGGAAAGGAGGAAACTACCTCCTTACTGCCTTGGGAGTCTAGGCCCCTACTCAGCCTCTGCTGGCAGGTGGAAGAGGAGCTGCACTTACGTGTGTGGCTGGAGTGCAGAAGTTACTTATGTAAGATTTCTGTCTTGCTGAACCACCCCTTTCCTAGTGCTTTGGCTAGAGAGAGCAGGCTTTTGTTGGGGCATTTTTGTTGTCTGTGTGTTGGTGTTTCCAGGTTGCTGGCTTCTCTAACACCCAAGCCCAGGATACATGAAGCAAAAAGAAAATCTAAGGAATCTTTTCTGTGTTTTTAAAATATATCTTTATTGATTTCAGAGAGAGGACAGGAGAGGGGGAGAAATAGAAACATCAATGATGAGAGAGTCATTGATCGGCTGCCTCCTGCATGTCCCCAACTGGGGATTGAGCCCGAAACCCCGGCATGTGCCCTGACCAGGATCGAACCCCGATCGCCTGGATCCTAGGTCAACGCTCAACTGCTGAGCCACACCCAGCTGGGCTTGCTGTGTTCTTCAGGTCTTGAGGATCCTAGCCAGTCTCCCTTCTTCTACCTCTCTTTCATCTTCTGTTGGTTTTATATGTAACGTCCAAGGATTTTAGCTGTATTTAGTGGAGGAATCAGAAAAAGCACATCTGCCCCATTATTCCAGAAGCACAAGTCAGGAAGAGTCAATCCTTATCCTTCTGATGCTTAAATTGTCCAGTCTTTGGCCAGCAGGGTCCCTTTGACATGATTCATTATTCTTTGATTGTTTCCCAAGATGTTCTAGGCCCACCTTGTACTTTCCCTCCTCTAGCCTTGAAATCAGTCTCTCCTATAAGGAGCCCTGGTTGGTTTAAGTCAGCCCTGGGAGGCTGTTTTACTATGCTCAGGCTGCTATAACAAAATGCGATAGACTGGGTGGCTTCAACAATAGACATTTCTCAAAGTTCCATTATTTTTGGGAATCCAAAATCAAGAACCTACTAGATTCAGTTCTTGGTGAGAGTCCTCTCCTGCCTTATAGACAGCTGTCTTCTTGGTGTGTTCTCATGAGGCCTTTCCTTGGTACATGCTTGTGAAGAGCATCTCTCTGTCTTTCTCTTATAAGGGCACATCATAAGGGTCCCATTCTCTTGACCTTATCTAAACATAATTATCTCCCAAACACCCCACTTCCTAAAACAATCTCACTGGAGTTAGGACCCCAACATATGAATTTGGGGGATGGGGGCACATTCAGTCCATAACCACTCTTGTCAATGAGTGGTTCAGGCATGGGCCCTTCTCGCTTTCTAAAGAAGATGGCAGGTAGACAAGGGCTCTCTCCTTTCTCTACTTGGGCATCTGGCATTGGGGCCACCACTTGCTGCCAGCCTAAGGACCAGATCACACAGAGAGGGCAAAGCCAAGAACATCATAGGACTGGGAGCTAGAACCCTGATTTTTCCCATCTACAGATAAGCTGTTCCATTTTGGTCCTCCGTCTGCCTCACCCTGACCTGCCTCAATCAGCAGTTGAAAAGAGAAAATGAGGGATGTGCTAGGTAGATCTGTATGTCACTTGGTCTCTCTCACAAAAACCTTTTATCTGAACCTAAAAAAAAACCTATACACACACTCCTTTACATTTTTGTTTATTCTTCCTGCTGGGAAAAAACACTGACAAGTATCTTTCATGGGGGAGGGAAGACAACGCTGGAAAAGTCCTCAGGATCCCTATATGCTGAATTTCCAAGTAGGAACCTAGAAAGCCAGAGATCCAGGAGGCCAGGCCTCCAGGGTTCTGGACCTGGGGTCCTGAAGAGAAGTTCAGAGGGCAGCCACTTCACATGGATAGGGCAGCTCCACGTGGGCCACAGACACTCTTCTCCTCAGCCCAGAGAGCTCATCAGGGTTTGGGCTTGCTTCAGTTCTGCAGGAGAAGAGGTAAGCAGTTGGGCAGAAGTCAGATGGGATCTGGGAGGGCCCCCAATCCCTCCAGGTACAGCTAAACCTACCTGACAGGAGGACCTGGAACTTGTCTGCTGAGAGGGATATAGCAACAGGTTGGGCGGGGGCATCCGGGGCAGTTGCCACTTCCAGCTGCAGGTGCACCATGGGCTCTTCCACTGACCGCAGCAGGCTGGAGCTCAGGATGTAGTCTACCCGCCAGCCCATGCCTGCCAGCCTATTTACTGTGAGATGGGGTGGGGCTCTCAGGCTCGTGGCAGACGGGCCACGCAGCCCTCAGCACACCCCCCTGGCTCAGCCTTCAACCCTTCAAAGCTGTGTGGCCTTTGGGAAGCTCTTATTCCTTTGACCTCTCACCCACAGCATGTGCTCAATAACTGGGAGATCGGATTATACACGGCAGATCTCAGAGGAAAGAAACCTGGCTGGAGTCAGGAGTCCTGGCTCTGTGACTGTGACATGTGACCACGAGTAAATCTGAGGACAAGCACCTCCCATGCTACATGCACCTTCTAGAATAGATCCCAAACCCCACATTGGCTGACTCCACACTCACCACGCAGGCTGCAGGCCCGCAGGTGCTCCTGCAGGGGGTTTTGCTTCTCCTCATAACAGCGACACAGGCTGGCTGCGTGTTCTGGGGGCAGAATGGAGGTCCCCTGAGGTAAGCAAGTGTGTGCTGGGGCTGCTCAGAGGGCAGGGCTCAGGCTCCTGGCCCAGAAAGGGCAGGGTACATCTCAGGGTCACATGGCCTGGCCTGCTGTCCTGCAGCCCTTGGCCTGCCCAGGTCTCCATACCTTTAGGCAACCCCAGCTGCTGCAGTTCACTGGACAAGGACTCGCCATCCACACTATGCTTGGCCGCACTGGAGAGGATGAAACTCAGTACTGCCACCGTGGCTTTCACATCGCCCAACTCTGGGGAGACCCATGGTTGGATATGGGGTGTCACTGTGGCCCCAGCTACCTCGTTGCCCTACTATATTCAGCTCAGAGCCCTCAGCCCTCCTTGAGCCACGAGCATTGCTACTGCTGGCAGAGGACACGGAGCAGACTGTCAATATCTGTCTTCTCCTCAGGTTGCTCTGCTGAGGCAGGTGGGTCAGGACGAGCTGCTGGTAGGAGGGGCCTCTGTACCAGGCCCCAGGCCGAGTAGCCAGAGCTGCCCAAAGTCCATGGACTCATAGGGTACTCACCAAACCTGGCGTCGGCAGTGAGCTTCAGGACCTTCTCATACTGTGGGGAAAGGAGGCCCTTAGGGGTGCCAGACCCCTACTTGCCACCCCCCACCACCTGGATCCTATGGTAAGGATTGGAAGTATTCAGGGAGGGCAGGAGGCTGATCACCCACCTCCCTGGGTCTAGTGCACTCTCAGGGCAGTGAGGGTCATAGGGTTGTGGGACAATGGGGTGCTGGGCCAGGCACTCACATCAATCCCCTGTCCCAGAAGCTCCTTCAGCACCTGGCTGCAGAGCAGCCTCAGCTTCACGGAAGACTGAAGGGGAAGGCCTTACATCAGCCAGATGGGCCCACCTTACCCCTTCATGCTGGGGGGCTGCCTCAGAGAGGGTCATCCATGTGACCAGTCACACAGCATGCTAGTATGGGCTGAAAGCGCTGAGGCCCAGAACCCAGAGTGACCTCACCACCCTCCACTCCCAGAGCCCCATCCCCAATCCCTGTCCCCCTGACCCCAAATAAGACCCCATGCACTCAACAATCTTGGCAAGTGTGCTGATCTCCGCCAGGACCCAGTCGGGACAGTCCAGATCACCACAGAACCGGAACCTCTGCATGGGAGTGAGGCAACTGGTCAGGCTGAAAGGAGGGGTGAGGTGAGGCCAGGTGTCTCCCACACTACTGTTCCTCAGGTACCCCTGCTCCTTGTCCAAAATGGATGCCCTCTGGCCATTTGATCTCCATGATTACCAGGCTGAGAACCCTCTTCCTGACCCACCCTGCCACCAAACCTTGTTCTGATGCCTATCCCAGGCATTCATCTGTTCAGCAAACATCGACTGGGTGCCTTCTCTATCATAGATCCCATAGAACAAAACAAAGTCCCTGGACTCATAGGCAATGACCTCTCTTACTTCCTTTTCCTCCCTGGCTCCAGCCACACTGGCCTCCCTTCTGTTCCTGTTACACCAGGCACACTCCCATTGTCCTTGTGGCTTGCTTGCTTTCTCACTTCATTCAGATCTCTGCTCAAATGACACTATTGAAGGGCCTTCTCTGACCATACTTTCTATTAAAATAGCCCCTTATATAAGGAAATATCAGGGGCCAGTGGATGTGTTCATTACCTTGATCCTGGGAACATTTTCATGAGCACATACATGTCAAAATATATTGAACTGTGTATCTACATATGTGTGGTTCTCAATAAAGCTGTTAAGAAAATAAAATCACTTTCTACTATTACGCTCTAGCTCCTTATGCTTCTTGCTTGACCTCCAAGTTACCACAGTATGTATCACATTTTATTATTTATTCTCTCCTCTGTTAGAAGGCAAACCCATCCTGTCAATCATGTCTTGCCAATATCCTCCATCCCCTGATCAGTTGTCCTTTTTCCAGTTTGCCTGGCAAAGTTCTAACCCACAGCAATATACATGTCCATCTTTCCACACCTCTACCTGGGCCCACACACTAATACTCTTCCCACTGAAACTTGCTCCCCTACTGTTTCCCACCCCACTGAGCACAACCTCCTGGAAACCAAACCCAGACACCACCTTCTCCTCTCCCCTCAAGCATTTAGTCCCTGAGTGCTGCTGACTCTCCCAGCTTTTGTTTCCACTCTCTCTGCTCTAACTCAGGTCAACACCATCTCCTGGAGGTTTACTGCCCCAGCCTGGGCTCTCTGCTCCCCTCTTCCTCCCACAAGTTGGCCAAAAGGATCATCCTAGCTGCCCAATGCCCTTTTCTTAAACTCCACACTCCTTTATGCAGCTCTTAAGACCCAGCAAGTTTTGGTCTTTGCTTACCTGTCCAGCCCCATTTTTCACTAACCACCAGTTTATACTTTTCCAGTTGGGGGAAATGTATTCATTCCTAGGGAGCCATGCTCTCTAACCCCTGAAGTCTGTGAACACACTGTTTCCTGTCTGAAGATATAGCCCCCACCCCCTATGAGTCCTAAGCCCTGGCATATAAACTGCATTGCAGGGAGCCAGCTTTCTTCCCCGCCCGCAGGCCCTCAGGTTGCTTTCCTAACACTATGCTCAAGGTGCAGTTAGGTCTCTTCCCTTCAAGTCTTAACTATGACTGCCAGATGAAGTCTCCAACTTTGCCTTTCCCTCCTGAAGTTGAAGTCTCAGTGCCCCGCACAGTGCATGGTGTAGAGCAGGGGTGGGGAATGTCGGGGCGAAATCATTTGGTCTGGCTCTGCCAAGGCAACAGCAGGTAGGACTCAAAATTCAATAAACCTAGGAGCTTTTTTTTATAGTTAATTTTTAAGTTAATAATTTTCTATGGCTCCCAAATGCTGTTATAAATATCCAAATGGCCCTTGGCAGAAAAAAGGTTTCCCACTCCTGGCGTGGGTAAGCATTCAAAAATCGTTGAATGAATGGATGGATGGATGGGTTGGGAAGTCCCAACCCACACTCCTTTCTGGCTCTGGGAAAAGAGGAGGAGCTTCTTAACTGTGAAGAATTAGACTGAGCCTAATTCTAAGCAAGTTCTTGTCCAAGTCCCACAGGAGGGCTGGAAGTGGGTACCTTTAGGAGGTCCTGTTGGAGGGGAGGAAGGCCTGGGAGGAGTACCCTGCAAATAAGCCCCAGGGGGGCGGGGTCCCTTCTCGTCAGGGAAGCCCCCGGGTCCTC